TGTTAAAGCCACAATCATCAAAATTATAACAAATAAAGGCTTGAAATATCTCACTTTGCATGTAATGAGTCTAATATATTAGTTTCACCTTTTAAGTTGAATTACTGAACTTTTTTGCACCATATTCTGATTTTTCCAGTTTCACCTGTATATTTGTCTAGTTTCTGTACAAATACATTCCTAAATCAAGTTACATAAATGACTGAAGATATTAAGTCTGGCAAATGAATCCAAATGAGGTGAGTTTGTGCTTAAAACAAGCACTGAAATATCTGTTTTCCCTCGAATTAAAGGAGTAGTTCACTTTTTAAAAAAAACTTTAGCTGATAATTTACTCGCCCCCGTGTCATCCAAGATGTCCATGTCTTTCTTTCTTCAGTCGAAAAGAAATGAAGGTTTTTGATGAAAACATTCCAGGATTTTCTCCATATAATGGACTTCAATGGGGTCCAAACGGTTCAAGATCCAAAAGAGAGTTTCAGTGCAAACAACGACACCAGACGATGAATAAGGGTCTTATCAAGCGAAACGAGCGCTCGTTTAATAAATAAATAACAAAGTTTAAGTTTTTATAACCAAATGACTCGGAAAAAGATTTATTTATTTATTTATTAAATGAGCGATCGTTTCGCTTGATAAGACCCTTATTCATCGTCTGGTGTCGTTTAAAGCCCTTTGAACAGTTTGCACTGAAACTGTCTTTTCGACCTTGAACCGTTTGGACCCCATTGAAGTCCATTATATGGAGAAAATCCTGGAATGTTTTCATCAAAAACCTTCATTTCTTTTCGACTGAATAAAGAAAGACATGGACATCTTGGATGACACGGGGGTGAGTAAATTATTAGCAAAAGTTTTTTTAAAGTGAACTACTCCTTTAAGTGTATTTTTCAATTTTTTTTTACTTCCAGTCTTATTATTTTCAGTCATTTTGCTTCTTCTCCACTAAATATCTCTTGATTTAAGAATGTTTGGATATTTGTGCTGGAAATCAAGACAGAAGAACGTCATGGGTTCGATTCCCTGATCAAACACATGCACTGAATATCAATGCAATAAATGCCTGTGTTGTTTCCGCAGGCGTGTGATGGACAGTTTTCACGCTCAACATCCGAAGAGCGCGTAGAAAACCTTCATCATGGATTCAGAGGCGAGCGAAAGCAAGCGCTCCGAGGATTTTCCCTGCAGAAGCGTTGATCTTTCTCTCCTCCCGTATCCCGTTCCTCATCCCGTCGTCCCTCAACCTCACAGGTTCATCCCGGAGATGATCGACCTCAACCGGCTCCGGCTTCACCGCGTCGTTCACGTGAAACAAGAGCTTCCGGTGTGGCCTCCGTCTCCTCTTCTCATCCGATCTCCCAATCCTTACTTTCCTCCTTTCCATCCGAGCCTCGTGCCGTTCCCGTTCCTCCTTCCCAACTCAACCAATCCCTTCTACCCGAGGTACCGCCACCGAAAGCCGGACGCCTCCGCGGAAAAGCTGAACGTCAACGTGGACGAAAGCTATTACGTAACCGTCGGCGATCAGAAGCGCTGGAAGTGTCGGATGTGCGAGAAGTCGTACACCTCGAAGTACAACCTGATCACACACATCCTCGGACACAGCGGGATCAAACCTCACGGCTGCGACCTCTGCGGGAAGCTCTTCAAGCAACTGAGCCACCTGCACACACACATGCTCACACACCAGGGCGCGCGCCCACACAAGTGCCAAGTGTGTCAGAAAGCCTTCACTCAGACCAGTCACCTGAAGAGACACATGATGCAGCACAGCGAGGTCAAGCCCTTCAGCTGTGGAGTGTGTGGGCGAGGGTTCGCGTATCCCAGCGAGCTGCGCACACACACGCTCAAGCACGAGAGAGGGCAGGAGAACGTGTGTGTGGAGTGCGGCCTCGACTTCCCCACGCTCGCGCAGCTCAAGCGACACCTGACGACGCACCGAGGGCCCGTGACGTACGACTGCGGGGAGTGTGGGAAGAGTTTCCAGTATCCCAGTCAACTCCAGAATCACATGATGAAGCACAAGGACATCCGGCCCTTCATCTGCGGAGAGTGTGGGATGGAGTTCGTGCAGTCGCATCATCTCAAACAACACACACTCACACACAAGGTGAGGAGTCACACACGCACACAAGCTGAAGAGTCTCTCTGTCACACACACACACACACACACCCTAGTCTATGGTCTGATTCTCCCTATCATAGTTGCTTATTAATATGCATACAACTATACTGGCTGTTTATTAGGACTATAAAGCACTCATATTAGTATTAGGACAGTGAGCACAACTGGAGCTACATGTGCAAAACTCTAACTATACAGTCTGCACTTACTCAACAGTCACTTGTGGTAAACACTTCACATCACCTGCAAAACTCACTTTTCACCGGAAGCGAAAAACGCAAATATCTCGGACTCGGCGAAAACTCAAACTCAACGTATCTGGCGGACACCGGGCTCCTTCGAACTGTCTCGCTGAACTGAACAAACCCATATGCGTTTCGTCATTTTTGGTGGAGTTTTCGCGGAGATATTAGCCGAAAACCGTCGACAGCGCTCTGCCCGCTGACGTCACGAGCTCGGGAGAAAATCGCGAATATCTCGGCGAAAACTCAACGTATTGACACCAAATTCTTATCGAGTGGAGAACGGACTGAGACCTTTCGAACGAGACCAGCCCCAGCCTCGTGGGCCCCCGGGGGCCCGAGATACAGACCCCCAAAACCTCCCCGGAAGCGAAGAACGAAAATATCTCGGCGAAAATTCAACATATCTGGCGAAGACCGGGCTCATTCGAACCGTCTCGCCGAACTGAACCAACCCATATGCGTTTCGTCATTTTTGGTGGAGTTTTCGCGGAGATATTAGCCGAAAACCGTCGACAGCGCTCTGCCCGCTGACGTCACGAGCTCGGGAGAAAATCGCGAATATCTCGGCGAAAACTCAACGTATTGACACCAAATTTTTATCGAGTGGAGAACGGGCTGAGACCTTTCGAAAGAGACCAGCCCCAGCCTCATGGGCCCCCGGGGGCCCGAGATACAGACCCCCAAAACCTCCCCGGAAGCGAAGAACGAAAATATCTCGGCGAAAATTCAACATATCTGGCGAAGACCGGGCTCATTCGAACCGTCTCGCCAAACTGAACAAAATCATATGCGTTTCGTCATTTTTGGTGGAGTATTCGCGGAGATATTAGCCGAAAACCGTCGAGAGCGCTCTGCCCGCTGGCGTCACGAGCTCGGGAGAAAATCGCAAATATCTCGGCGAAAACTCAACGTATTGACGCCAAATTTTTATCGAGTGGAGAACCGACGAGACCTTTCGAAAGAGACCAGCCCCAGCCTCATGGGCCCCCGGGGGCCCGTGATAACAGCCCCCTGAAGCGCCCCCAGAAGCGAAAAAAGGTTGGTTTGGTTTGGTTGTACGTCACACGTAGGCTCACTATTGGCCGACGCTGGTCATGTGTGTGTGATATGTGTGTGATACGTTTGACGTACAACACAGAAGTGAAGAGTTGAATAAAGTCGTTATTTTTGTACAGAAAGTATTCTCGCGTCTTGATAAACTTAAGGTTGCGCCACTGTAGTTACTCAGACTATTTTAACGATGTCTTTAATAACTTTCTGGGTCTGCAAGTTTCAATTAAAATAGAAGCCTATGGAGGAGTGATCCAGCTCTCAGATTTATTCACAAATATCTTAATTTGTGTTCCGAAGATGAACTAAAGTCTTACGGGGGTTGAACAACATGAGGGAGAGAGTCATTACTGACAGAGTTTACATCTTTGGGTGAACTGTCACTTTAATAACACGTTTATCTAAACGACTCTGATGTTTAAGAGCGTGTTTATAAGACCATCACACACTTCGGTTTGGTTGATCCTCGTGTGTGTGTGTGTTGCAGGGCGTGAAGGAGCACAAGTGTCGTATCTGCGGCCGTGAGTTTACTCTGCTGGCCAACATGAAGCGTCATGTTCTGATCCACACCAACATCCGGGCGTATCAGTGTCACCTGTGTTACAAGAGCTTCGTCCAGAAGCAGACGCTGAAGGCCCACATGATCGTCCACTCCGACATCAAGCCCTACAAGTGCAAGGTGTGTGTCAGAACCACAACCAAAGCGAGAGGGAGAGTCATTAATGACATCATTTTCATTTTTGGGACTAACCCTTGAACTAACCCTTTAAATTATGAGTCCAGTTTTTAAATGTTTCTTGGTGATGTAAACTTTAAGGAAACATTCCATTGTGTCATTCTTCAAACATTATGGGAACGTTACATTTGAATGTTCTCTGAAACAATGTAGTCAGTTCAAAGTAATTATTTCAGACGCTTCGTGAATGACAAATAACATTTTGAGATCATCATCCTCTGGTGCTCTTCTGTAAACAAACAAAACAAAATTCTTGATGAGAATGGTATGAAAATTGGTAAATGATTTGGCACTTGCTTTGTGAATGCATAAAATAATCATGGTCATGATCTGAACAGGTTTGATGGTCCTGATATCGACAGTTACACTTGTGCTCCGAAACGCCACACTGGAAGTGAATGAGAGTTTCCTCTAGTGGAAGCATGTGGAACTGCAGCCGAACACACACACACACACAAACACTGAACGCTCGTTTACTGAGATATCAGACTCACATTTTAAACACAACTTGTTTAGATTTATAGCTTTGATTTTCTCACCGTTTTAGAGTAAAATGTTTTTGAAAATTATATTGCATTAAAAAATTTGAAAATAGTTTTTTTGCACATTTTTCATAACAATAAACGTAAAATTCTGTAACTTTTTGAAAGTTCACTTTTTAAAATTGTTTTCACGTCAGCAATAATCTGCCGAGTGTCGTCTTTGAGAAGAGATCAATCTTCAGTCTGTCGCTCTAAAGCGTTCAAGATTTACAAGTGAATAAATGGATTATAAATACAGCGTAAATATAATTTAGTACCATAAAATCCCCTAAAAAATACAAAATGTGAAATAAAAAAACATTAACGAACTCAAATATAGTACATTCATTTCATTGAAGAAAAAATTTCCAAGTGAAGATGGAAGAATGTTTGTTCACTGTTCTGGAGTAACGTGGGTGATGGATGTGTGTAACATGAGTCATGGATGTGAGGGATGGATGTGAGTGATGGATGTGTGTAACGTGAGTGATGGATGTGTGTAATGTGAGGGATGGATGTGTGTAACGTGAATGATGGATGTGTGAAACGTGAGTGATGGATGTGTGTAACGTGAATGATGGATGTGTGTAACGTGAATGATGGATGTGTGTAACGTGAGTGATGGATGTGTGTAACGTGAGGGATGGATGTGTGTAACGTGAGTGATGGATGTGTGAAACGTGAGTGATGGATGTGTGTAACGTGAATGATGGATGTGTGTAACATGAGTGATGGATGTGTGTAACGTGAGTGATGGAACGTGAGGGATGGATGCGTGTAACGTGAGTGATGGATGTGTGTGATGGATGTGTGTAACGTGAGTGATGGATGTGTGTAATGTGAGTGATGGATGTGTGTAACGTGAGTGATGGATGTGTGTGATGGATGTGTGTAACGTGAGTGATGGATGTGTGTAATGTGAGGGATGGATGTGTGTAACGTGAGTGATGGATGTGTGTAACTTGAATGATGGATGTGTGTAACGTGAGTGATGGATGTGTGTAACGTGAATGATGGATGTGTGATGGATGTGTGTAACGTGAGTGATGGATGTGTGTAACTTGAATGATGGATGTGTGTAACGTGAGTGATGGATGTGTGTAACGTGATGGATGGATGTGTGTAACGTGAGTGATGGATGTGTGATGGATGCGTGTAACGTGAGTGATGGATGTGTGTAACGTGATGGATGGATGTGTGTAACGTGAGTGATGGATGTGTGATGGATGCGTGTAACGTGAATGATGGATGTGTGTAATGTGAGGGATGGATGTGTGTAACGTGAGTGATGGATGTGTGATGGATGCGTGTAACGTGAATGATGGATGTGTGTAACGTGAGGGATGGATGTATGTAACGTGAGTGATGGATGTGTGATGGATGCGTGTAACGTGAGTGATGGATGCGTGTAACGTGAGTGATGGATGTGTGTAACGTGAGTGATGGATGCGTGTAACGTGAGTGATGGATGTGTGTAACGTGAGGGATGGATGCGTGTAACGTGAGTGATGGATGTATGTAACGTGAGTGATGGATGTGTGTAACGTGAGTGATGGATGCGTGTAACGTGAGTGATGGATGTGTGTAACGTGAGTGATGGATGTGTGTAACGTGAGTGATGGATGTGTGTAACGTGAGTGATGGATGTGTGATGGATGTGTGTAACGTGAGTGATGGATGTGTGTAACGTGAGTGATGGATGCGTGTAACGTGAGGGATGGATGTGTGTAACGTGAGTGATGGATGCGTGTAACGTGAGTGATGGATGCGTGTAACGTGAGTGATGGATGTGTGTAACGTGAGTGATGGATGTGTGTAACGTGAGTGATGGATGTGTGTAACGTGAGTGATGGATGTGTGTAACGTGAGTGATGGATGTGTGTAACGTGAGTGATGGATGTGTGTAACGTGAATGATGGATGTGTGTAACGTGAGTGATGGATGTGTGTAACGTGACTGATGGATGTGTGTAACGTGAGTGATGGATGTGTGTAACGTGAGTGATGGATGTGTGTAACGTGAGTGATGGATGTGTGTAACGTGAATGATGGATGTGTGTAACGTGAGTGATGGATGTGTGTAACGTGAGTGATGGATGTGTGTAACGTGAGTGATGGATGTGTGTAACGTGAGGGATGGATGGGTGTAACGAGAGTGATGGATGTGTGTAACGAGAGTGATGGATGTGTGTAACGTGAATGATGGATGTGTGTAACGTGAGTGATGGATGTGTGTAACGTGAGGGATGGATGTGTGTAACGTGAGTGATGGATGTGTGTAACGTGAGTGATGGATGTGTGTAACGTGAATGATGGATGTGTGTAACGTGAGTGATGGATGGGTGTAACGAGAGTGATGGATGTGTGTAACGAGAGTGATGGATGTGTGTAACTTGAGTGATGGATGTGTGTAACGTGAATGATGGATGTGTGTAACGTGAGTGATGGATGTGTGTAACGTGAGGGATGGATGTGTGTAACGTGAGTGATGGATGTGTGTAACGTGAGTGATGGATGCGTGTAACGTGAGTGATGGATGTGTGTAACGTGAGTGATGGATGTGTGTAACGTGAATGATGGATGTGTGTAACGTGAGTGATGGATGTGTGTAACGTGAGTGATGGATGTGTGTAACGTGAGTGATGGATGTGTGTAACGTGAATGATGGATGCGTGTAACGTGAGTGATGGATGTGTGTAACGTGAATGATGGATGCGTGTAACGTGAGTGATGGATGTGTGTAACGTGAGTGATGGATGTGTGTAACGTGAGTGATGGATGTGTGTAACGTGAGTGATGGATGTGTGTAACGTGAATGATGGATGTGTGTAACGTGAGTGATGGATGTGTGTAACGTGAATGATGGATGTGTGTAACGTGAGTGATGGATGTGTGTAACGTGAATGATGGATGTGTGTAACGTGAGTGATGGATGTGTGTAACGTGAATGATGGATGCGTGTAACGTGAGTGATGGATGTGTGTAACGTGAATGATGGATGCGTGTAACGTGAGTGATGGATGTGTGTAACGTGAGTGATGGATGTGTGTAACGTGAGTGATGGATGTGTGTAACGTGAGTGATGGATGCGTGTAACGTGAGTGATGGATGCGTGTAACGTGAATGATGGATGTGTGTAACGTGAGTGATGGATGTGTGTAACGTGAGTGATGGATGTGTGTAACGTAACGTGAGTGATGGATGTGTGTAACGTGAGTGATGGATGCGTGTAACGTGAGTGATGGATGTGTGTAACGTGAGTGATGGATGTGTGTAACGTGAGGGATTGGTGACCTTGGTCTCGAACGCGCGTCCAAACGAAGAGCAGAGTGTGTTTTGGCAGTTGAGTGTCTCCTCGTCTGTAGGAAGGATATTTGCTGCACAAACTGAGCGTGTAACAATGGCTCTCTCGTCCCCCGAGAACAAGCCCGAAAATAGATTTCATCTCGCTTTCTCTTGTGCTCAGGAGCTCTTCCTGTTTTCTCACGGTCCGTTCGGACAGTTTACAGTCCCTCTATCCTCCTGAAGGAAAGGAAAGGACCACCCTAATAAAAAAAGAATAAAGAGGAAGGACAGAAAGCGTCCAGAGAAACGCTCAGTCTCGCTCTCTCAGTGAGAGGCTGCGGCCGGCGTGTTCATGAGCAAAACATCCACATTTAATGATCATCAATACAATGCAATACGAGCACAACTCGTTCTGTTAGCAGAGCCACAATAAACCAAAAAAATCGGAGAAATGCCAGTTACTCGACATATTCGTGTTCGTCCTCAGTGTTTCTGTCTGGTTGTCCAGCACAAATAAACAGAACAATGACTGAAGACGTTAAGACTGGAAAATGGAGTGAGTTTGTGTTTAAAACAAGAACAAATATTTGCCAGTGGAGGCAGAAATGATTCAAATATCTATGTTTGATATACCGGAAAACAAGACAAAAACACTGTTAGAGGTTTAAATGTCAAACACTATTACATTGAGATTCTAATTGACTGGATTTCGCCCATAAATTTTCACAGAGCAACTAAAAATCTGTGTGAACTGTGAAAATATGAATATTTCTGCAGTGATCAGTGATGTTCTGAACACATCAGCCAGTGCTTGCTCAGGTCACAGATATCTATCTCTGAATAGTTGCTCTCTTTACAGCTGTGTGGAAAGGAGTTTAACAGAATGCATAATCTGATGGGCCACATGCACTTGCATTCTGACAGCAAACCCTTCAAATGTCTTTACTGCGCCAGCAAGTTCACGCTGAAGGGAAACCTGACCCGCCACATGAAGGTCAAGCACGGGGTCATGGACCGGGGACTGGACGCTCGGGGTGAGTCCACGGCAAAACAGTTATTCTTGGTTTCACTTAAATACTTAGTGTTTTTGTCTTGTAACTAAAAAAATACTGAAATCAAGATGCATTTACTAAAGTAGTAAAATGCCAAACGGTATTATGTCCTGGTGGAATAAATCAAAATGAAGTGAGTTTTTGCTTAAAAAAATCAAAATGATCTGCCAATGGGGTCAGAAAAACAATCTTGTTTCTGTTTGAGTTAACATTATTTTTCTGACCGCATTGGCAGATAGCTTAGCTTTTTTAACCAACAAATCACTTAATTTTGTTTACTTCCCCAGATAATTACATATAAATAATAAATAATAAATAAATAATAAATGTATCTTGATTTGAGAATTTTTTAGATGTGGACTGGTAACAAGACACAAATACTAAGAACAGCATTTTTGCAGTGTCACGTTTGAATATTGATACAATATAACGTTTTTTAAACGTAACTAGTTCCGAGAACATTCAAAAGTAACATTCTCAGAGTGTTTGAAGAATGACACAATACGGAATGTTGTTCTTCTCCAGTAAATGTATCTTGATTTGAGAATGTTTTTGCTGGAAGAGGTGATGTTGGCATGATGATGATGATGATGATGATGATGATGATGTGGTCAGTGTTCAGGCGTCGGGGTCGTCTGTGTCTCTCCGGCCCGCTCCGGATCCTGTCCCGCATCACTCAGGACGAGCCCTTCGATCTGTCCCGGAAGAAGCAGAACCCGAACCCGATGAGCCTGTCTCCGTCTGACGGCGGGAGCTCCAGTCGGGACGAGGACGAGGACAGTGTGTACAGCCCTGATCTCTACCACAAGAAGAAGACACAACACACACACTTCTACAGCCACAAAGAGGACGATTTCTGAGACAAACACTGTAAAAATGCTTTTCGTACTCAGTGTTTCCAGTCCAAATATTAAAAAATCAAAATCAAGATGCATTTACTAGATGAGTAACATGACATCAGATATTAAGTCTTGTTTTCTGGTGAAATAAATGAAATTATTAATTCGAATGGAAACAAGTTTGGCAGATAATTGTACTTTTTTTAAGCAAAAACTCACTTCATTTTGATTTATTTCGCCAGAAAACAAGACTTATATCTTATGGCATGTTACTCATCTAGTAAATGCATGTTGATTTAAAATAATTTTAATATTTGGACTGGAAACAAGACACAAATACTGAGTAAGAAATGCATTTTTTGCAGTGCACACGCTGTGATGATGATGATGATGATGATGATGATGCTTTAAATATTTTTTCATGTGAAAAATGTACAGAAATCTTCGCAAGTCTCTTGATTTTCAGAAGCGTAGCGTGTTTAGTCTACTTGGTATCATAATGTACAATGAAATTAATATAATTGAGAGAAGAAACCTGATATATTTCTGATCATTAATGCTAATTGCCTTCAATGGAGGTGTAACGGCTTATAAACGTGTTCTGACTTTGATGAATGATTACAGTTTTGTATTTTTGCAGTGTGTAAACGGATGGATGATCATAATCGACCGCAGTGTGAATGCAGATCAATATTTATGTACAATAAATTTTTTTTGACTTAATATCTTCAGTCATTTTGCTTCTTCTTCAGTACATCATAACATATCGTGTGTGTATTTGAAGAGTTCAGATGCAAAAGCCTCTAAATGCCATTTGAAATGTTCTTCTTTAATGATGATTTTTAGCAAACTTTTATATTTAAGTTCAGTAATTTCACTTAAATGGCAATGATAATTACCTATTTAAGTGAAATTACTAAACTTAAATATACAAGTTTGATAAAAATCATCATTACAGAAGAAAATTTCAAATGGCATTTAGAGGCTTTTGCATCTGAACTCTTCATTTATATTTAAACAAGTATTCTAAAGTAAACTTTAGTGTAGTCTATTTTAACTCTACAACCTTTTTGGCCAGGTTTTCTTCCCTAAAGCTGTAACACACTTCCTCAAAGAGAAAAGGAAGTATTGGAGAATAGCTCTGATCAAACGCGCTGTGGGAGTCGAGCGCTGCACAGATAACACACTTCTCATTGTTCAACTCTATTGTTTCCCAGTTTGGCTGCAGAGAGAAAAAAAAATGATTTTACAACAAAAATGTCTATCCACAGTTCCAGTTAGTAGATACACACATGAGATATATCAGCTAAAGCATGAGAATGTTGAGCGAATGTGTTCTGAAAACATGATTTCAGAGAAACGCCACACGAAGGATGTGTAAATGTGTGTGTTCTGATGTTTTGAGAACATTATTACAGTATTTGAGTGAACGTTCTATTACTGTAACATTACTGGAACTTGGCAGTTGTTGAACTTTGTTGAACTTACAGTAATTACAGTAATTGTTCATAACTGCTAAACAACTAATTAAGGTTTGAAAAATAGGTGTGTGATCACGGGTTGTGCGTGTGTTCTGGTGTGTGTGTGTGTGTGTGTCAGGCCCTTTTGGAGCACCACACCTTCAGGCTGTTTGTCCTGATGAAGCTCCTGTTAAAGAGGAAGTGCTCAGATCCTCTTCCTGTCCTCCGATCACCTCAGTGTTTCGGTGTGAAGCCAGAACAGCATCGGAATCAGGTTGTGTGAAACGTCTCTGCTGAAGTGAAAGTCCTGGATGAATCAGGACAAAGGGGTTCTGTGAACGACACACACACACACACACTGCTGAGAAACTACATCACTGTGAAAAATAAAAACCACTATATTTGGATAGAAAGACATCCTTGACTCTAAATACAGATCTTTCCGGCCGGTTCGCTGATGTAAACTGTGTGTTTCTTCGGTGTGTGTGTGTGTGTGGTTTGTAAAGCCTGAGGATGTTTAGACCAAACGTTTGTGCCGAGAGATTCCAGCAGGATTTTATTTTTCCTTTTCATTTCTGTGCTTTGAATGGGAAAATAACTTTATTGTACTTTATCTGGTCTTTTGGTAATACTATAGGCCTACAATAAGGATTATTTTTGGATGCACCGATATGAATATTTTATATTTGAAAGCTGATTGGCTGATAAATCTAAATCCAAGTTTAATTTTAAGCTACAATTAAGAGAGGCAGTTCACCCAAAAAATAAAACTTCATCATGTACTCACTCTAATGTTCTTCCAAACCTGTGTTAGTTTCTTTCTTCTGCTGAACATAAAGGAAGATATTTTGAAGAATGTTTGTAATCAGATTGTGATTGATTAGGTTTTGGGGATCCATTGACTTCCATAGAAATCTTATAGAAGTCAATGGGGTCCAACTGCTTGATTACTGACATTCTTCGATATCTTCATTTGTGTTCAGCAGAGTGAGTACATGATGACAGACTTTTTTTTTTTAATTTTGGGTGCACTGTCCCTTTAATAACAAGTTTTTAAGATCAAAAGTTGTATGTGCTAACATGCACAGTAAACTAACATGAGCGTGAATATTTTTAGTACCAAACATTAGCAAAGATTAATAAATGCTGTAAGAATATTTTGCTGATGTAGTTCATTTGTTTATAATTTGTAACATATTTAAAGAATTCAATATTTACAAATGATATTGTAAAGTCTTGACGGTCTGTTCTTAATGGGAGTTTAATTTTACGAGAGAGATTTGACGATTATAAAGTAACATCAAAAGAATATAGTTAAGTGTAATCAAATTGATATCCGTGAAATCATCAACTGTCTTTATGATATCAGACCGCCATCTATCGGGATCATCTATAATCTCACTGAAACTCGAGGCTTGTGGGAATATTTTACTTTCCTCATTTTAAAACTCGCTATTAAAATCTCTTTCCTGGACGTTTGAAAGCAGATTTTACTATTACACACTCACTGGGTTGATTATAATTTACACGTTTCTTTTGTTTGTTTGTTTTTTGGTGAAATCTACAAATAATAATATCTGTTATAATGGTAGCACCCACGCACACGCATGCGCAGTGAGTCTCTGTGATCCCCGTCCCTCGTGCCGAATGGTTCAGTCTAAAGATGGCGGCCTCCATCCTGCAGCGCTGTCAGTTTCCCTTACAAACCTTTTCCAAATGTGTTAATTACAGATTAATGGGTAAGTGTCACTATTAATGGATGGTCATTAAACTGTCATGCTTACGTCAGAAAGAGATAGATATAGAAGTCTGTGCTTTATTCTTAAAGATAGACGCTAGAGATGTGAATGAGAGGTGAACGCTAATGACACAAGATCACGTGTAAGTTCAATGTTTGTATACAACTCGGTTTTTGAGTGATACATACATATATATATATATATATATATTCCATATGTTTGTAGTGAGTGACCTCATTAATATTATTGATCACATTATATGATTCTGATTCACAAGCTATTAATTTGATTCGAGATCAATTTCGATTCATTTGGATATATTTGGACAGGTTAAAAGAATAACAGAGTCCAGATTTCATTGTTTTTTTATTTTTAGGTATGGTTAATAATCAACACTTAAATACAAACAGTTCTATACGAACATTTAAATTACACATTAGGAAGTTAAATATGATATAATTATTTTTTTTCCTCGGTGGCTGTAATAAAATATTGTCAGATTTATAGGGTTAGATCACCCAAAAATGTTAATTATCCCATAATTTATTCACGCTCAATAAAGGTCATCTGAAGGGGAAGCCATGTGTTTATGTAAGATAAATATCCATATTTATAACTTTATAAAAACTATAATCACTGGCTTTCGGTAACAGCTGAATGTAAGACTAGTTCGGGTTGTAGAGTGACCTCTGACCCGACGCATGATGAGTGATCTCTAGGGTCAGAGGTCACTCGTTATGCATTGGGTTAGAGGTCATTCGTCATGTGTCACATCAGAGGTCATACATCACATCAGAGGTCATGCATCACATCAGAGGTCATGCATCGGTCATACGTTCATTTTTAGGTAAACCAACCTTTTAAGTTCTCAAAACTGTCATAATAAATGTCCGGCAAAATAAAAGTCCCACTTCTGACACATCGGCCAAACAGGAAATGTATCGGTGTTTTAAAAACGGCAAATATCGTTCGGCCACTAATCACAATGAGAATAATACACTGATTACTAACGCATTAAAGCTTGTGTCGGTTTCAGTCCGGAGATGTTTGCTGTCATCGGCGTACACTGACACGGCATTATGGGAGCAGAGACAGAAGGACCCGCAGGACCTCGGTGAGACTCTCAGCCAATCACGAAGGAGAACCGCTGTAAACACACGCTGTAACCGTGACGATGTGTGTGTTAATGTGTTCTGCAGGACAGCTGGCCTCTGTGATGAACAGGACGTATGAGAGGAAGTTTCCCGTCAGCTCATTGGTCATCGGCAGGGTGAGACAGACGGACTTATTTAACATACAAATGATAAATGACGTAAATGTTTTAACGTGTGCACGTCTTGTTTAGTTCATAGACACTTTATCATCGAGAGAAGAAGTCGACAAAGCGGAATATTACTTATATAAGTAAGTATTACTATTTATGTTATTGTTTGCTCAACTCTGTAAATAAAATATAAGATTATTGGAGTTTTTTTTTACACGAAAATACTATTTCTGCTGTCGATTAATTGTCATACAAATTATTTCAATTAATATTTTAATGTCTCATGCAGTGTAAGCCTAATACTTACTTGGAATCATATATAATATAATAATACAAATTCTACTAAAATAGGCTAAGATTATAATCTTAAAGCCTTTGGTGCTTTTCCGTCATTTTTTACCATAAAATTTAACGTTTTGTTATTTTAGATTTTTTTTTTACTTTATCAGAATATTACGAAACTTGGTAAAGGTTTTGGTACGTTCTGTGAATACACTAAAAAATCATGAACAAGATTAAAAAAGTTTTTAAAAATATAGCAATGAAATTTTTCATTTTTTAAACTTTTTCCAGTTTTTTTCTGCAATAATCTGCCAAATGTCTTTAAAAAGAGACCAAACTTCAGTCTGTGATCCAAAGCATGAAATATTCAAGAATCATACATTAATTAGTAACATAAAAGAAAAATGAAATAAATAAAAAACATTATTGAACTCAAAAATAGGACATTTCATTGAAAATTGTCATTTTGAGATGCAAATGCGAGGAAATGTGATGTAATGTAATGTAATATAGTGCAGTGATTAAACCCACAAAGCATCATTTCATATGCAGCAAGATCTTTGTTTGTTTACAACCGTGATCAGAAGATTGCTCAGTGACAGGCCTGTCTCTACAGTGGTGTGAATAAGTTTTGGCCCCCATGCTAAAGTTGCCTAAAAAGAGGAATAAAAAATCATCTTTTAGATGTTGATCTCGATGCCTTAATTAGAAAAATGAGGAAAACTCCAACCTTTAAGGACACCAATTTTCTTTGTGAATGAATAATGTATCATAAATAAATAAATGTCTTTGCTTAAAATACAGGGTGCATAAGTCAGGGCCCCCCTATGTTAAATTCCCATAGAGTCAGGCAGATTTTTATTTTTAAAAGCCAGTTATTTCATGGATCCATGATAATATGCATCCTGATAAAGTTCCCTTGGCCTTTGGGATTAAAATATCCCCACATCATCACACACCTTCCACCACACCTAGAGATTGGCATGGGGTACTTTCCATAAGATCATCTTTCAATGCAAATCAAACCAGCTATTAGGCTAACTGAAGTAAAACCATGCCAATCTCTAGGTGTGGTGGAAGGTGTGTGATGATGTGGGGATATTTTAATCCCAAAGGCCAAGGGAACTTTATCAGGATGCATATTATCCTGGATCCATGAAATAACTGGCTTTTAAAACTAAAAATCTGCCTGACTCTATGGGAATTTAACATAGGGGTGTCCTGACTTATGCACCCTGTATTTTAAGGAAAAACATTTATTTATTTATGATACATTATTCATTCACAAAGAAAGGTTGGAGTTTTCCTCATTTTTCTAATTAAGGCATTAAGATCAATATCCAAAAGATGATTTTTTTATTCCTCTTTTTAGGCAACTTTAGCATGGGGGCCAAAACTTATTCACACCATTATAAGTGAAGTCAGTTTCCCTGTGTGTGTTCCTGTTGGCTCAGTTGAAGTGTGTGTTCCTCAGGTTTCGTCACAGTCCGAACTGCTGGTATCTGCGGGACTGGAGCGTTCACAGCTGGTTCCGGCAGTGTCTGAAGCACGGAGCCCGAGATAAAGCCCTGTACACACTCAAGAACAAGGTGTGCGAGAAGTCCTCCACTTCACCAATCAATCTAACACACACACACACACACACACACACACACACACAGTGCCATGCAAGCGAATCCAGCGCAAATGGCTCTTAAAGGAGTAGTTCACTTTAAAAAAAAACTTTTGCTGATAATTTACTCGCCCCCGTGTCATCCAAGATGTCCATGTCTTTCTTTCTTCAGTCGAAAAGAAATGAAGGTTTTTGATGAAAACATTCCAGGATTTTCTCCATATAATGGACTTCAATGGGGTCCAAACGGTTCAAGGTCCAAATGAGAGTTTCAGTGCAAACTGTTCAAAGGGCTTTAAATGACACCAGACGATGAATAAGGGTCTTATCAAGCGAAACGATCGCTCATTTAATAAATAAATAACAAAGTTTAAGTTTTATAAGCTCAAATGCTCGCCTTGCTCTGTTCTGTGACGTGACTCTCCTGTTCGAACTTGTTCATCAAAATGAACAAATCATTTGGTTCATTTCATTCGAAATGATTCGTAAAAATCCTGGAATGTTTTCATCAAAAACCTTAATTTCTTTTCGACTGAGGAAAGAAAGACATGGACATCTTGGATGACACGGGGGCGAGTAAACTATCAGCAAAAGTTTTTTAAAAGTGAACTACTCCTTTAACGGGAATGTGAGATGAGACTCTGATTGGTTTAAAACACACCCATTGCTCATTAAGAGAATATAGACGACTGTTTTAGACCAGCACCGGGAGCGCCGACCATTTGTCCCGTCGTTAAACTAGCAGAAGTGGATTCAGACACACACTAAGTGCCCTAGCGCCGCATGCTCTCTACCATGAGCTTAGATGATTATAATAGAGCCTTGTGAGTGTTAAACGTGTGTTTGTTGCTGATCAAATGTGGTGTTGTCTCGCAGGTTCAGTTCGGCATGTTTCCTGACGACTTCACCTTTAATCTTCTGATCGACTCCTTTATAAAGGACTCCGACTTCAAGGGTGTGTAATGCTGTTGTTTGCCACATGAATCCCGCATAAGTTCATTTGTTGGGCTCATGAATGCCCCGTGTGTGTGTGTGTGTGTGTGTGTGACCCAGGAGCGTGTTCAGTGGTGGAGGAGGTGATGCTGCAGGAGGCGTTCGAGCGGACCTCCACACAGATGCTGTCGCTCTACGCTCTCAGCAAATATCTGGCAACCAAACCTGAACTCAGCGTGAGTCAAACGAGCTTCCTCCTCAGCGTCTCTGTCTGCTGTTCCCACACACACACACACACACCTCTAAATCAACATTTACTGGTGAAGATATTAAGATGTTTTAAATGAAATGAGTTTGTGCTTAAAACAAGAAAAAATAAAATGCTTGTGGGGTCCGAAAAATAATCTTATTTTCCCTTTGAATGTTATTTAAGTTTCAAGCAACAAAAATTGGAAGAAAAAACAAAACTAATTGTTGCTACTTGAAACATAAATAAATAAATAAAACAGTTATAATAATAATAACTCATGAGCAAATATCTGCCAAATCTGAAAAATTCAACTTACAGATGAAACTTGAAAAATTAGAATATGGTGCAAAAGTTTATTTTGGATTATTATTATTTTTATTTATTTCAGTAATTCAACTTAAAAGCTGAAACTAATATATTATATAGACTCATTACATGCAAAGTGAGATATTTCAAGATATTTACAGATATGAAAACCTTTTCACAATATTCTAATTTTGAATTTGGGGTTTAAGCCATAATTATCACAATTATAACAAATAAAGGCTTGAAATATCTCACTTTACATGTAATGAGTCTATATAATATATTAGTGTCACCTTTTGAATTACGGAAATTAATAATAATAATGCAAAATAAACTTTTGCACCATATTCTAATTTTTCAAGTTTCATCTGTAAGTTGAATTTTTCTGATTTGGCAGATATTTGCTCATGAGTTATTATTATTATAACTGAAATTATTATTTTTTTTAATTTACGTTTCAAGTAGCAAAAATTAGTTTTGTTTTTTTCTTCCAATTTTTGTTGGTTGAAACTTAAATAACATTTTATTTTAAAAAAGGTGAATTGTATTTTTCATCTTTGTTAAGTTTAACTTGATGTTCTAGAAAACATTAAAAATGAGATAAATGAATAAAAACGATTTAATAAAAACAAAAACAGAGGAAAAAATTACAAAAATATGTCAAATTACTAGAAACATAAATATTTATAAAAATGAATCTCAATGACACTAAAACATCATTTTTAGCACAAATTCACTTTTTTTTTTCGATACATTTCATTCTTAATATCTTCAGTCATACTTCTTCTCCAGTAAATGTCTCTTGGTTTAAGGATGTTTAGATATTTGTGTTGGAAATTTAGACAGAAACACTGAGGATGAACATCATGATTTGCAGGTTATATTTATAGCAGAAGCTAAAATAGATGAAAAAGTTTTATTGCAATACATTAAAATGGCTCTTCTTTTTAATGACATATCTTGTAAAACATTGAGTTGTATTGATCTGTTGTGAACGGTCCAGTGGCAGGAGGAGAGGATCATGGGAGCGTCTCTGATGTTGGTCGGACTGAAGCAGGAAAACTCTGTCGGCTTCAGCGCTCGGATCCTGGGACTCGCTCTCATCGGTGTGTGTTCAGAACAACCATCTAAATATCTGAACATCACACTGCAAAAATGCTTTTCTTACTTAGTATTTGTGTCTTTTTTCCAGTCCAATTATCAAACATTTCTATAATCAAGATGCATTTACTAGATGAGTAAAATGACAAGATATTATGTTGTTTTCTGGGAATATAATTTTTTTAAGCATTTTTGCTTAAAAAAAGCAAAATGATCTGTCAATGGGGTCAGAAAAATAATGTTAATTCAAACAGAAACAAGATTATTTTTCTGACCCCATTGGCAGATCATTTTGCTTTTTTTTTAAATTTATTTATATTCCCAGAAAAGAAGACAATATTGTATGGTATTTTACTACTTAAGTAAAGACATCTTGATTTAAGAGTTTTTAGATATTTTGGACTGAAAACAAGACAAAAAAAAGTTAAGTAAAGCATTTTTTGCAGTAAAAACTTACTTGGAATCATATATAATATAATATAATATAATATAATATAATATAATAATATATAATATAATATAATATAATATAATATAAGACAAATCATGATAATATAGGCCGAGATGATGATCTTTAATCCTGCTTTTCGGTCATTTTTGGCCGTAATTTTTTTTTTTTTTTTTTCACTTCACAATTAAAAAAATCTAATGCTATAGTTCTACACTAAAACTATAAAAACAAAAATAATCTGCCAAGTGTCATTTTTAAACCGAGACAAAAAATTAAGTCTGTGATCCAAAGCACTCCATATTTATGAGTTTAATTTGGAAATTTTATTTTTAGGTCGGTGCTTAAAAATTGGCGCCATAAATTAATTAGTACTGTAAAATCCCTTATAAATTCAAAATATTAAATAAAAAACAGTATTGAACTCAAACGTAGCACTAGGGCTGTGAAAGGATGAATCGCTAATGCTTTGAAAATGAGATGTATTTAATGTTGTGCAGGTAAAGTGGAGCTGTCCCGAGGAATCCACGCGGTGTTCCACCAGATGCCCCTGATGTGGACCCCGGGTTATCTGGGACGGGCCCTCGCCGTCATGGACACTGTGTGCCGCCACTTCACACACGTCAGGCTATCGGAGGAAGTCGTGAGTATCTGAAAGCACATCTTAATGACTGTGATGAGGGCTTGCCGTCTATCTCGCCTGAGGGAAAAGATTAAAGAGAATCACATTAATTATGTTTTTTGAAGTCAACGTTTGAGATCCTGAACATAAACTCTCCTCTGGGGTCGATGAGGACGAGAAGAGAAGCTTTAGTTCTGCTGATCACAAGCAGTGTGTGACGTTGCTGTTTGAGCAGTAAGAAGTTCTCCTCTACATGAGTGTCAGTGTTTCTGAACTCCTGAAACGCCTCCATTAGTCTCGAGTTTCCGAACACGTCACAGTATTCCTCATTATAATAATTAATGCGCAGAATTAAGGGGCGGGGCCTGGCTGAGTTAGTTAGTAGTGTGTTAAACTGGCGGTTATGGAAAGGGGCGGGGCATTTCCCAAACACACTCGAAGCGCTCGACCAATCACAACACACTGCTCCAGCCGACCAATCAGAGCACAGTGTGCTTTCAGAAGGCGGGGCTTCATAGAGACAGGAAGTAAACAGAGCGTTACTGACAGACTGGGACGAGAGGAGCCGCAACAATGGAGAATATGAGGAGAATAATCAACATTCATAGTTACAATTCTGACTTAAATATGACAAAAAAGTGATTCATACAAGTTGCAATTATGACTTAAAAGGTCATATTCTGAAATAAAAAGTTGAAATTCTGATTTCCAAGATAATGACAAAAAGTCATAATTATGAAACATGTAGTCATGATATTAAATATCATAATTATGATATAAAAATCATAGAAATGACAGTTTTTAGAAATCACATAAACGTCCAAATTATGACATACAAGTCTAAAGTTATGACTTAGTCATATTCTTAAATAAAAAGTTGACTCTTACTGTAATGTTTTTTTCACATACATTTTTTAACATTTATACTTGAAAAGTAAAGAATTATGACATAAAAGTATATTTAAAAAGTAAACATTTTGACATACTAAGTTAGAATTATGATATAAAACATGTTATAATTCTGACTTAAAGTCATAAAATGACAGTCAGAAATATGACAATTTTGCATATGCAATTATGACTTAAGTCATTCTTAAATAAAAACTTGAAATTCTGACTTTTAAGATTATGACATAAAAACAAAATTATGACATACTAAGTCAAAATGACAAAAAGTAAAAATGATTAAATAAGAAGTCATAATTATGATTTTAAAAAGTTGAAGTTCTTAAATAAAAAGTTGAAATTTTGACTTAAATGTCATAACTGACATAAAAAATTATAGAGATAACAGTTAAAAAAAATGAATGACACATGCCGAAATGATGACGTACAATTCATAATGCATAAATCCTGTCCGAGTAGCGACTAGAAACATCATCAAGACTTTGAGAAGAGCATTAGATGTCTTCCTGAAGGTGATGATGAGTTTAAAGCAACACTAATTACGATTTTTTTACCATAAAATAATGTTTTCTAAAAGGTTTCAGCGGTTCATCAAGTCGTGACACGGTGAAATGCACTCATGCCTCCGCTTTGCGCTAGTTGAAATTCTGACTTTCAAGATTATGACATAAAAACAAAATGATGACATACTAAGTCGAAATGATAAAAAGTAAAAATGATTAAATAAGTCATAATTATGATATTAAAAAGTTGAAATTCTGACTTAAGTCATAATTGACATAAAACATCATAAAAATGCCGAAATCATGACATACAAGTCATAATGCATAAATCCTGTCCTAGTAGAGACTTTGAGAAGAGCACTAGATGTCCTGATGAGTTTAAAGCAACATTAACTACGATTTTTTTACCTTAAAATAATGTTTTCTAAAAGGTTTCAGCGGTTCATCAAGTTGTGACACGGTGAAATGCACTCATGCCTCCGCTTTGCGCTCCTCTGTTTGCTATATCCACGCTGTGTAAGATTGCCAGATCAGGTGGCGTTTCTGTAGTTCTAATGACGCATAAGAAAACTACAAATGTGACTTGCTTTACGGAGAGCGTTACAGTTGCGATAGCTGGAGCGTGCTCGACTGTAGACTACGGCTACGTGTACGATACCTGCCAGCCCGGTCGCGTTTGATTTGAACTGTCATCATGATTCCAAAGCCGGAGCTGGATAAACAGAGCGTGTGTGTGTGTGTGTGTGTGTGTGTGTGTGTGCGCGGTAGGCTAGATTATTTATAGACAGTTCCGCCTCCGACCTGTAGGGCGACCGCAGAGCAAACGTTACTTGTGTTGCTTTAACCCTTGAGCGAGTCACAGCCGTAACGCAGTGTGATGATGTCATGGAGCGTCCGTGTGTTTCAGCTGGAGTGTGTGGAGAAGATCCTGCAGGATCCCGATGGACAGATCTCAGCGGACGACAGCGATGAGGAACAGGCTCTCGAGAGACTCCGACTGCCTGAGTACAGCGAGCGCTTCAAGGTGAGCTTCATGAACACTAGCGCCGTCACTGGTGTGAGACAGTCCTGTTCAGTTTCTGAGGTTAACGTAAGTCCATCTGAAGACGTTTCCATTTTCAACACCAAATACGAGCCAATCTGGCGTTTCTGTGTTTACTCGCTTTGCTGGGGAAGTTCGTGTAAGACGAATCTGCGCAGATTTACTGCAAATACGCAACTCGTGATCCTCGTGATATATTAAACACAGTGTATTGCAGAATCTGCTCATTTCTGGCGTACTTGAACACACACGTCACTACACACACACATAACGGCACGCTTGAACACTTGCACTGAAGTAATAGCGAATATTAAAAAGCTTTTGGTGACCAGAAAAGACAGATATTTTTCAACTTACCCACATGTTCTCGGTCCTGTATTGATCCTAAAACACATTTTTGGTAAAAAATTTAAATCGTTTAAAATTAATTTAAAATTAAATCGTTTTTTAAACTTGTGTTGGTTGGTCTGACTGATTGTGCAATCAATTTTTGAACATAAAGTGACAGCGCTAGTCTACACTGTACTTTCTCGTAAATACCATAAATGTATCTTGATCCTCATATTGGATCATGTGACACTGAAGACTGGAGTAATGATGCTGAAAATCACAGGAATAAATTACACTTTACTGTATATTTATAGTATATAGTATCAGAGAAATACTGAGTCATTTTTTGCCGTGTGCCTTTAAAATATCCAACATCGTTTGTTAAATGCATATTTAATATCACCGATACTCCTGAAAACCCCTGACATCCCTGACCTGATCCATTCTCAACATTAATGTCCAGATATTCTCTTCACACACACTATTGTGTCTTAAAGCGTTCAAGATTTACACAGTTTAATTTGGACATTTAATTTTCAGGTCAATGCTAAAAAAGTGAATAAACGGATTAGTGTTGTACCATAAAATAGAAAATATTAAATAAAAAACACTATCGAACTAAAATATAGTACATTCATTTCATTGGAAGAAGAAAATGAAGCGAGAGGGTTACGAGTATTTGTATATTTGTGCCGTGAGCGTAACCTGAGAAGTGTTTTGCAGGAGCTGAGGGGTCGTCTTCAGGCTCAGGACCAGACGGACCCGAGGAGCCTGGACTCGCTGGTGTCGGATCTGACCCGGGACACACTGGGACACTGCGAGGAAGCGGATCTGGCCCAGTACCGGCAGACTCTGCAGCACTGGGAGGCCGAGAGACACCAGCTCATTCAGAGAGAGAGAGAGACGAAAGAGAAGAACCAGAAGGAGCGTCTGAACAAACAGCGGCTCGGTGCGGCCCAGTGAACCACAGCCATTGTTTCTCATGTTTATTGTCTTTGGTCGGGTGGATTGAGATAAAGATGTGTGTGTTAATATTATTTGGATTTTTTTTTTCAATCTGAACAGAATAAATAAACTAAAAATACTCTTATTTAGTCTGTCCTTTCATACTGTACGCACTGAAATAACAGGATTTACACTGAACGTTTCTTCTGTTCACTGAATCGGATCAAAAATACAGATTAAACTCGAAAAATATGAATATGGTGCAAAAGTAATTCAACTTAAAAGGTGAAACTAATATATTATATAGACTCATTCCATGCAAAGTGAGATATTTCAAGCCTTTATTTCTTATAATTGTGATGATTATGGCTTACATATATGAAAACCCTTTCACAATATTCTAATTTTGAAAATTGGGGAAATATCTCACTTTGCATGTAATGAGTCTAATTTTTCCGGTTTCGCCTGTACATTAAAAACAATGAAATATTATTCAAATGTAAATCATCTGTTTTCTATGTAAATATATAGTAAAGTGTAATTTATTCCTGTGATTTCCAGCATCATTACTCCAGTCTTCAGTGTCACATGACCCTTCAGAAATCACTCTAATATGAGGATCTGATGATCAAGACACATTTATGATTATGATTTTCAAAGTGAACGAATCTTTTTCCGAGTCAATTCATTGAATGAACCAATTGACTCAAAAAAAGTTCGAACAGGAGAGTCACGGAATCACAGAACAGAGCAAGGCGAGCATTTGAGCTTATAAAACTTAAATTTTGGTATTTATTTATTAAACGAGCGATCGTTTCGCTTGATAAGACCCTGATTCATCGTCTGGAATCGTTTAAAGCTGCACTGAAACTCTCATTTGGACCTTGAGCCGTTTGGTCCCCATTGAAGTCCATTATATGGAGAAAATCCTGGAATGTTTCCATCAAAAACCTTCATTTCTTTTCGACTGAAGAAAGAAAGACATGGACATCTTGGATGAAACGGGGGTGAGTAAATTATCAGCAAAAGTTTTTTCAAAAGTGAACTACTCCTTTAATATCTTTAGTCATTTTGCTTCTTCTCCAGTCAATTTTGGTTTGACTGTAAAAAAAAAAAAAAAAAAAAACACACACACACAATGGTTTATAAATAATCTTAAATGCACTTTTTTTCGGTAAAGTGCTTTTCTTTGTAGAAAGGAATATTGTAATGTTTTGCACAACATAATTCTGCATCATCATAGTGTGAGAAAAAGCTTCCTAAATCTATAAACACACATAAAGACAGATTATATCACTCCCATTACAATGTGCATCTTGTTTTCCACCCATCCAGCTGCAGAATCTCTTGGAAATTCCTGAAACGGCTTCAGATGTCAGATTCTGGCCCTTTTGTCCGAGTCTCCTGATAAAACACAGAACAGAATGTGTTTTGTCCGCTGGGATTGTGTGTGTGTGTGTGTGTGTGTGTGTGTTTGCAGGAAAGGGAACGACGTCGCCATCAAGAAACACTAAACACGAAGGTGCCGAATTACAGCAGAGGCGGCGGTGTGTGTGTGAGCTGCAAGCGGATCGATTACGGTGTGTGTAATACATCAGATCAGACAACACACACACCTAATGACAGCTGAGCTGAGACAAGAGAAAATAATGTCTTCTGCTCTCCAAAACTACATTTATGTCATAAGAAAAATAATCTTAATTCAAAGGGAAACACGATTATTATTTTTTTAGACTTTGTGTCTTAGCAGAAATATGCGCGTTGTCAATCATATTTTGTGGATGAAGTGGGCGGTAATCAGGAGGTTATTTTCCCACCAAATCTGATTTGTGAAATTCATGGCGTGTCAGATTTATTATAAACCATACGCCATAGGAAGCGGTCTCATGTATCATCTCTTAACTGACAGGTACAAAATGAATCAAATGTATTCTGGGCCTTTTTATCCAGTAATTTCATTAAGATGGAGGACAGAGTGAGCTTTAATTTGATTGGTTCCTCGTATCAAGCGAGTGTTTCCTCTGCTCTGTTTAGCTTTTCATGTAAAAAATGATTTATTTGGCCTGTTGCGGCACGTAACCCAAACCTCTGAAAGTGATGTGAATCTGAGACTGATTCTAATCATGCTGAAATCTCATTTGGATCCCGATTAAAGCTTTTCCCTCGTCTATCTGCATCAGCTCGTTACATAAACCACTATAATTCAGGACTTTCGTCGAGACCGATTACACACTCTTTAATTTAAATTCTCATTAAATGTGATTTTTATTCAAGTCAGACTTTGAAATGACGATATTTTTGTAAAATTTACAATATAAACCTTTCACTGGAAAAAAAAAAACTGACGTTCTTCCTCGGTTTTTCTGTCTCATTTTCCAGCACAAATGTACAAACATTGTTAAATCAAGAGACATTTACTGGAGAAGCAAAATGACTGAAGATATGAAGTTTTGATTAATAAAATAGTGATCGAAAATCTCCCAATGGTGGCAGAAAAATAATCTTAGGATCTTATCTAGTGAAACGAGCGCTCATTTAATAAATAAATAACAAAGTTTAAGTTTTATAAGCTCAAATGCTCGCCTTGCTCTGTTCTGTGACGCGCGTTCGTGACTCTCCTGTTCAAAATCGTTCATCAAAATGAACGAATCTTTTTTTGAATCATGACTCGGAGGGTCCTTGATAAGACCCTTATTCATCGTCTGGTGTCGTTTAAAGCCCTTTGTACAGTTTGCACTGAAATTGTCTTTTGGACCTTGAACCGTTTGGACCCCATTGAAGTCCATTATATGGAGAAAATCCTGGAATGTTTTCATCAAAAACTGAAGAAAGAAAGACATGGACATCTTGGATGACATGGGGGTGAGTAAATTATCAGAAAAAGTTTTTTCAAAAGTGACTCCTTTAATGTCATTAAATGACATTGTAATGACAAATTAAATTTGTATCACTGTTGTCAAGGTCAAGAAATATATTCATGACATATTTATAACGGCCTCATGACGTCAAAGCCAACCACATGACAGTTTAATGTAACGTTAAACCATAAAGCTAAGTTGTTTCTTACATTTGATAATTAATCTGCTATGTCATGTTCAAGTTGTCATAAGTGGAGGCAGGGCTCATTTGCATATTATAGAACCGCGCATAAATGAGTCAAGGGTGTCGAATTACATTTTTTCAAAGAAAATGTTTTAAATATGTAATTTTGGTGATGAAAGATGAGTTTTCGAGAATAAAATGATTGACTCAGGGGAACTGTAAACAATCTTCCAGGGAGTTTCCAGGATTCTTTGTAATTGTCCAAATCTAATGTTGCAGCCTGAGATCATAGTGTAAGTGCATCTATGATTCATATGATCTTTATATCTGATGGAGAACAGGATTTGAGCATGTTTGCTCTACTTGTGATAACATCAGTTAAATATTAGTGATGGTCCTTAAACAAAAGAGAGCTCAGTATTGTCTAGATCTGTTTAGATTGGCAGCTGCTGATGTCTGACTCAATATTTCAGTCTAAACTAAAGCCAACTGCAAATGTGATACGGAATTTATACATTTTAGACACAATATTGCCAGTTTTGCCAATAAAAGTAGTCCTAAACGAAGTGCGTCTCTGATTCATTACTGAATGAATCCACTGTTTTTAACGACTCAAATGAGTCATTGATTCAGGGAATCATTCATTAAGACGCCACACGGTTGAATGAATGATTCAATGACTCACTCATTATGAATTCCTTTCATATTTAGAGTATTATTTCATTTTTCATTTGCACCTATAGTCTGAGCTGCATTAAACAATCTGTGTAAAATATACCTGAATGCCACTTCAGCGTCTGAAAAAACATTGTAACCATTTTTTTTACCTTAAAAATCACCATGTAGCCTAGTCAATCATTCTATCCCTTAAAACTCATCTTTGATCACCAAAAATGACATTCAACTCGACACAATTGCCTCATTAAGCGTGGTTCTATCAATATGCAAATGAGCCCCGCCTCCTCTTACTCACACTTAGACGCATGCTAGGCTATGAAGCCTATAAACCTATAAAAATTTGAAAAAAGATTTGTCCATTTTGATGAACGATTTCGAACAGGAGAGTCACAGACACGCATCACAGAATTTGTGCATTTGAGCTTATAAAACGTAAACTTTTTTATTTATTTTTGAAATGGCTGCTCGTTTCACTCGATAAGACCCTTATTCATCGTCTGGAGTCGTTTAAAGCCCTTTGAAGCTGCACTGAAACTCTCATTTGGACCTTGAACCGTTTGGACCCCATTGAAGTCCATTATATGGAGAAAATCCTGGAATGTTTTCATCAAAAACCTTCATTTCTTTTCGACTGAAGAAAGAAAGACATGGACATCTTGGATGACATGGGGGTGAGTAAATTATCAGCAAACGTTGTTTTTTTTTTTAAAGTGAACTACTTCTTTAAGTTAATAAACATTAGGCTAATGTATGTATGAAGTAAAAAAAAAAAAAAAGAGCTAGAAATGAATCAGCATTATGATGAGTTAAATAATGACCCAATTTGCTGGGTAAATCAATCCAACACGTGTTCTGTACTGTTTACCCAGCCCTTGGGTGAAAACTACCCAGATTTGGTTGTTTTTAACACAGTGTTTTTGCCAGTGCATGCAGTGAGATCAATAATATTGCCTTTTAAACCCCAAGATTTATTCCCCATTAAGGAAATTAGCTCTTTGTTGTCAAGTCAAATTTAATATAGCACATTTAAGTTGCGCCATGTATACAGAACTACAATGTGCAATTAAAAAGCATCGAAATAGAAAAGGCAAAAGACAATTATAGTCATATTACACCGATACAATCCATTTAATAGATCATATAAAACCAAAACAACTTAATTAAAAGCCAGCGAGAATAAATACGTTTTAAAAGCCTATATTTAAAAGAGCGGATATGAATGGTTGTGATGTGAATGTGATTCTTCAGTGAGTATATTGTACGGGACGCGCTGGTTGTTTTGGTTATGTGTGTGTGTGTGTGTGTGTGTGATGGGCGGTTCAGTCATGACATTATTCCCTCCACAGCAGGACTTTCAACTCCTGCAAAATGAGAGCTAGAGAAGCGCTGAGAGTTTAGCAGAGCCCCAGCTGAATTACTTCTAAATGTTGAACTTTTACTTCTAATATTTGGAACATGGACGCGCAGAACAGCACCGCGGCGCGCGGGATCGAGCCCAGGATTCCCACCATTCCCGCCATCATGTTCATATTCGGGGTCATCAGTAACATAATCGCCATCATCGTGCTTTGCAAATCGAGAAGAGAGCAGAAGGAGAGCACGTTCTACACGCTGGTCTGCGGTCTGGCGGTCACGGATCTCCTCGGAACAGTCCTGGCCAGTCCGGTGACCATCGCGACATACGTGAAGGGCGCGTGGCCTGATGGAGACCCGCTGTGCCAGTACTTCGGATTCGTTTTGCTATTCTTCTCCCTGGCGGGGTTGAGCATAATCTGCGCCATGTCCATCGAGAGATACATCGCGATCAACCACGCGTATTTCTACAACGATTACGCGGATAAGAAGCTCGCCGGGGTGACGCTTCTCGCCATTTACGCGTCAAACATCATGTTCTGCGCGCTCCCGAGCGCGGGTTTCGGAGAGGTTAAGATGCAGTATCCTCAAACCTGGTGCTTTATCGACTGGAGGACCAATGTCAGCACGCATGCCGCGTTCTCCTACATGTACGCTGGGTTCAGCTCGCTCCTGATCCTGGTCACGGTGATCTGTAACGTGTTGGTGTGCGGCGCGCTCATCCAGATGCACCGGAGCTTCGTGCGGCGCACGTCTCTCGGCACTGACCCGTTCCGAGCGTCGGACCCCGGCAGGACCCGCAGCTTCGGCCGCCTGGCAGGCGCGGAGATCCAGATGGTGATTCTCCTCATCGCAACATCTGCTGTCGTGCTCATTTGCTCCATCCCGCTCGTTGTAAGCTCCCGGAACGCATTGTGTCCCGCTTTATCTCTCCAATTCTGTATGACTCTCAGATATGCCCGTCTTATCGGCAAAACAAAACCTTTCTCACCATCTAGGTTTCAATATTCTGCATTGTGCGATTAGAATGAATCACAGAGGATGATGATGATAAAGTCTTAAAGGAATATGCTGAAATAGTTTCGGGTCACGGTGTCATCTCACAGTATAAATATTTTGAAATACAATATTGGTTCAAGCGAGAACATTCTCACGATCTGATTTTCCTTCACTTTCCTTTTTCTGTATTGTGCTAAAGATTAGCATGGATCCAGTCCGACCTCATGAAATTGCGACGTGCCATTTAAATAGTTTTTTCGTGCATATGATACAGACTTTATGGCGCACTCCTCACCCATACAGTGCGTAAATTACACGAGAAATAAAATTCGCCCATGACATGTAACTATAAGTATCTTTGCATATACTGTACCTTTCAACTAACTCTTAGAGTATTAGTAGACTGTTAGGTGTTGGGTTCGGGTTAATTGACTTGTAAACTCAAATTCTGCTGACTGAGTTTTTGGCAAAACAAGAACTTTCTCACGATCTGCATCGTGATTTTCCGTCATTTCTTTCTTTCTTTTTGTTTTTTTTTTGTGTGTGTGGAGTTTTTGTATTGTGCTTCAGATTAGAATGGATCACATGCACTGTAAAAATGGTTGGTTTAACTTAAAAAAATAAGTAACCTGGTTGCCTTAATTTTAAGTTCATTGAAATGGAAAAATTGAGTTGTACACTGTAAAAAAAATATTTTCATGATTTGTAATCACAACATTTTTTCTTTTGTCAAATCAACTTAGATAATTTATGTAAGCTCAGATAACATAATATTTTGAGTTTCTGATGATTAAATCAATCTCCTTCATTGTATTAACTCAATTTTGTCCAGTTCAATGAACTTACATTTTTAAGGCAAACAGGTTACTTACTTTTTTTAAGTTAAACCAACAATATTTTTTACAGTGCAGAGGATGATGATGAAGTCTAAAAGAAATATAAATATGCTGAAATAGTCTCGGGTCACGATGTCCTCTCAACTATATTAAATAAAGATTCCAAAACAAACAGGGGTTCCACCAGGAACCATTTTTGGTTCCCTATAGATTCTTTCAGTGACCAGTTGTTAAAATAACCCCTTTTAAAGTGTGAAGACCATTTAAATAAATCTAAACAAATAAAACAAAAATCTAAATAACCCTTTCCACCATAAAGATGTTTTTCATGAAACCATGCAATTTTTAAAAATAAAGGTTCCGCATTTAACATTTTTTCCCCTTTAGATGATCAAATATTCTTCACACTGATGGTTATTTTAAGAGCTGATGACTGAAAGGTTGTTTCTTCTGGTATCACAGCCTATACATATATATTTAAGTGTTTCGTCAAGATCAGTATTTAGTTTCTTTAGCGATTCTTGTTGGTGGCATTTGAAATGATCACAAATCCAAAGTAAAGAAAACAGAACCATAATTAGGATATATTTTATTAGAATTGATAAATGAAACTTAAAGGAATCTCCTCTAATGTGTCTGTGTTCAGAATTAATGCTCATATTCACTTTTGATGCAATGAAATCATGATGTTTTATTCCTCGAAGCATTTCAGTACAAATGGACAAAATTAATGTTATTATAAAAAAATCTACCAAAAATTATGAACATGTTTTATAGTAAAGAACGGTTTAATTGCAGAATTTAAGAAGAACTTGTATCCGTTATGAATGCGTCTTTAAGGCCCTCACATGCAACATGTTTTAATAATGTTTGTCAAATTCATAATGAAAATGTCACTTTTTTTTAGGTGCAGGTGTTTCTCAACCAGCTTTATAAGACGCCAGTGGAGAAAAGGCTGGACCGAAACCCAGATCTGCTGGCGATCCGCTTCGCCTCCACCAATCCCATCCTGGATCCCTGGATCTATATTCTCCTGCGTAAAGCCGTGCTCTCCAAGCTCATCGAGAACATCAAGTGTCTCTTCTGCTGGCTGGAGTCTCGGAGACGGCAGGGACAGGGGCTGGACGGAGCGCCCGTGTCCTCAGCCTCCAGAGACTCTCCGTTTGCTGTGTCTGGAGAACTGGAGGAGCTCGCTGAAGCCCCTGACACCTGTCAATCAAACCTCTGTCTGTCCGAAGCGGCTTCTCAATCCTCCGATCGCAGCAGTTTAGACAGTCGCTCCAAAGAGCCCAGCTTACAGATGACCATAACCAACGAGACCCTCCTGGAGAAGAGCATCTGAAACAGTGACGCTTTAACCTCCAATAATTCACTGATTATTTATTTATTTGAGCAGTTTATCAGCTTTTAATGTACTCTTTAAGTCTCTGTAAATAAAGGTTTTCTTGTACAGTAAAGAACCATTTTTGGTTCCCCAAAGAAACTTTCAGCGATCGGAACCATTTTTTCTTTGTAAGAAGAACGTTTAAAAAGTATTAAAAACATTTTTCCACTATAAAGAATCTTTTGTGGTTCTTCATGGAACCATCGATGCAAACAAACAACCTTTTTTTCGTAAAACGTGAACCCTGTTCCGGAGCCTGCATTTGCAGGAGTTTGGACAGTCCACATGTGTTTGTTTTCCCAGAAGAGTTCAAATCAGTCACATCAAGATCAACAAGTCGAGCCCTGCAGGAAATAACCAAGTCGAGATGTTTTCATAAAAACCCTTTCCAGTTTCTCGGTGCGTCCTGCTTCCCAACCGCAGATAAATAAATACGGTGTGTGTGTGTGTGCGGTTTGTTCTGGTGTGAGACGCTTCATCACCTGATCATAAACTGATCCCAGACAACAAACCTGTGCCAACGCTCAGTGTTCTCTACGCATTCAAAACCAAAGGTTTAAAATAAAAAATTATCGAATGAAATCATTCCATTTGAGCAGTTTGCAAACATGTCACTTTTGAATGTAACATTCTAACATTCTGAAAGAAATAGTAACATTTAAACGGAATGTTACTTTTGAATGTAACATTCTGAAGCAAATAGGAACATTTGAACTTAAAGGGAATGTTACTTTTGAATGTAACATTCTTAAATGTAACATTCTAAAGCAAATATTTGAACATAAAGGGAATGTTACTTTTGATTGTCATTTAAACATCCTTAAACTAGTCGTAACGTTTCAAAAATGTAAGGTGAATGTCCAACTAAAATGTTTCAGATAATTTCCCCCTAACTTTGAGAGAATCTTGCCGGAAAACAATCCTTCCAGAAATATCTGGGGGAATAGAAGTATAATGAAATGTTCAGAATCATCAGTGAATGACAAGATTCCTCTGAGAAAGTTTGTGATTTGTTGTTTCTGGTGATGATGTTTGTTCATGACAGGCTTTTTCCCACTCGTTGTTTCAGGCTCAGACTATTAGATAACAGAGAACACTTCTAATCGAACGTGATTGAGTTCAGTGTGAGAATCAGCAGACGGCTGACACACACACACACACACACACACACACACACCCAGAGCTTCAGGCCAGGAATCCGCCAACCTCCGTGTCCTTCTGATCCTCTAATAAACATTCTTTACACTCAGGATACGGATGTCGTTTACAGGCTTCATAACCCGTGAGATGAAACTGTTCCCATGAAATGTTTGCTAATTATACTTAATCTTTGTTTACAATCACACAGACCAAAACAAATATGACCGCTGCTCTGTCAGGCCCTTCATTAAAATACAGCAGATACAGTATTGATTACATGAGACTCCGAGAGGGGTTTTCATGAAGAGGTTTTATTTCGAAGAGTTTATCCAGATCGGCTTTTAACGGCGTTGGACATCTTATCGCAAATCAGAAAGTAAAGAAAAACAATAACCAATATAGCTGCGAGCAGCGATTGCGGGCCCAAGCCTGTGGCACCGCAACCCCGGCTCCTAATGGCGGTGCCGCCGGCTTTGGCCCTTCATATATACAGTATATAGCCGGTGGCACTGCCACCATGGTGCCTTTAGGGGTATTGTGCACGGGTATTTGTTGGTGAGCTTTTTCTATTGGGTGGGCATTTTTCGCCACCTGAGCAAAAATATTCTTTATACCTGACCTTTACAGCATACGTATAAACACAATGGTTTCAACATTCAGTTGTCACTTTTAACTTGAATGTGCCATTTATATTTTATTTGACCCTTGATGTAACTTATTAAATCATATTTGTGAAAAACAAGCAGTTAATTTTAGAAGTCACTAAATGAAGCACTTTTTAGGTTATCTGATTTTTTTTTCATCTTGGATGGTCGCCGCCATCTTGGATGTTGCTGGTCTTTCGTTAGCGGGTCCTCAAAGATGAAAATTTGTTTAAAAATGTCTTGAATAGTCTTATTTCTTAAAAATAGATTCTTAAAATACATGTATACACTCAATATTATATTTAACACATTCTCATCCCAAGACGTCATCTAAGTGACGCTTTTGACCATACATCAACATCCGACGTTTTAGGGCACCCTTAGATGACGCGGGTAGGTTTAGGTTTAGGTCTGGGTAGGGTTAGGGTTAGATAGGGTCATCTTATTGACATTAAAGGGTGCCCTAAAACGTCGGATGCTGACGTATGCTCAAAATCGTCAGGTAGATGACGTCTTGGGATGAGGACGGGCTGTTATATTATAAGTGTATTCATTTTATTCATCTGAAGTGGAATGTAAAGCAGGGCAGTTGTAGTGCAGTAACAGCAGCGCTTACAAGAGCGCGCAATGAGACGTACACGCGCATTGTGTAATGCGCTTATGTTTTAGTTTATTATCACCACCAGGGTTATTATTGTAGTTGACTAAAACTAAAACCATAAAAATTGTGTTAGTTGAAATAAAATAAAAATTAAAAAAGTAATAAAAACTGAATACGTATTTTTTTAAACTTTATATTTTTAAACTCACTTACTATGTACTATAAACTTGGAATTGTTTATAGATAATATGCAATGTATGTGTTGCAAAGTTTCACTGGGTAAAATCAACTCTAAAACAATACCAAAATGTGTTACAGTATGAAACCGACTGGCACACTTCAATCTCTAAACGAGCGGCCATCTTGCCATCAACATCTCGTTTGTGAAATGCCCCGGTTATCTATTGGAGGTTTGGAGCTTTCCAATGTTAAATTTTTGGATTAGAAGATTTCTTAATTTAGGAAGATCAGCTGTCATCCCAAAGCTTTTTTTATAATGGAAATTAAATCATTCTCTTTCTACAATTAATATATGGTCTGGTATTAATAGGGTTCTGTTACCTAACAATTGGAAAGAGCTTCACTTTAAAATTCTGCATAATTAATACCCCTGTAACTCTCTTCACTGTGCATTCTTCTAATATTGAAACAATACCACATTTGTTTTTTGATTAAGGAGTTCTGGAAAAAAGTAGGCTTGTTGTTTTGTTTGTTTGTTTTTTCTGCTCATCACAAACTCTTCTACTTTTGAGATTGTGAATGTGCTGTTTTTGATTTGGGACTCCGGGTCAAAGGAGACGGATCGCAGATTAAAACTGCTTACTTTATGTGGCAAGTTTCATCTTCACAAGTGTAAAGTACAGTAACTGTTTCTAAGCCCAATTCTAGACTTTTTTGTGTTGATTTAAAAAAAAAAAAAAAAAGATGACTCTCTTTGTTTATCAGTTACTGCTAAAACTTCACTGATGCTCAAAGAAATTTTGGTTTCATTAAATTTACCTTTTCTTATAAATTAATTTTACTTATTTGTAGTTTCTAAGCATGTTCTGTGAATTGTTATTATTATTTTTAGTAGATTTTCCCTTATCTACTGCCTTAATTGCTTACTTCGAGTTTACTGTATTATTTTATTTTATTTATTTATTTTTTTAACTTGATATATGTTTCTGCTGTGACTTTTTGTTCAATAAAAAAAAAAAAAAAAAAAAAAAAACTTCAAGACGTTCAAGACCCATCTCGCTCGCGGAGCAGCAGCTTTGACGTCACAGGCAGCGTCAGCGATCGCGTCAGCACGGACACGACAACAAGTTTGTTGGACACAACACATCTACACAGCTCTTTGAGATTCCGAATCGGACTGCATTTAAATTAATATAACACAATATAAATTGAGTTATTTTGACGGAATCTTCAGCTCGGGTGATAACATGAGTTCAGCTCAGCTGAGGCGACGGGACCGAGACTACTAATTATCCCCACAAACAGGTATTGAGGTATTACACATCAGAACTATACTAGACGTTTTATTTAGGACATATATCATATGCCTGATTAAATGTAACTAGGGAATTAAATATAACTAGTGAATTAAATATAACTAGTGAATCACCAAACGGCAAGAATGATTCAGATTTAATTTAATTGAATAAGTGGCGGTTGATGATAATCGGCCTGGGGGAGGGGCAGCTCTTATTTACGGTACGGTGGATGGTCATTTTTAAAAATCGCGCCGTAAAATGACTTAACGTTAATGTGTCTCTTTTTCCATTATTAATGTATAAGTTAGGATTGAGTACTTATTTAAAGAAAGAGAAATACTTGACAATTCACTTTTTAAAATTTTATTTTTTAACCAGTAATGGTAAAGGGTTAGTTCACCCAAAAATGAAAATTAAGTCATTAATTACTCACCCCCATGCTGTACCAACCCCGTAAGACCTTCGTTCATCTTCGGAGCACAAATGAAGATATTTTTGATTAAATTTGAGAGCTGTATAACTACCACATAGGCTCCTAAGGGAATGACACTTGACGGCCCAGAAAGTCAATGAAGAAAATGTTTAAATATTCCATGGCTCAACTATAAGTTTATCAAGCGACGAGAATACTTTTTGTGCGAAAAAACAAACAAAAATAACGACTTTATTCGACTATTCCTTTTCTTCCTTGTTGGCCTGAAACCAGACTTCCATAGATTTCCACGACGCATGCTCGAGAACTGAACTGAAGTAGTTGAAGGAGATCGCAATTCTCGCGCATGCGTCGTGGAAATCTATTGAAGTCTATTGAAGACTGTGATTTCTAGAGTCAATTCAAATGAAAACATTGATGCTACTTTTACTAAATAAGTATATATATACCCTGCGTATCACGTACCACTGGATTCATGTCCAGTTCAATCTGTTGTTCTGGTTTTATTTGTAATCTCCTCTCCTGATCTGCACAGGTGCTGTATGTTAACACATTGTTTTGCTTTGTGTTTTTCAGTGTCCTTAATGTTCCCCGATGACCTGAGAAAGCAAAATGAATACTTTCAGTCTCTCTATAAAGTGGGAAGGAAACTGGATTATAATTATTTAGTCCATTCAGGAATGAGAAGATCGGACGGCAAGAAAGTATGTTGCTCTTTCTCCATTTTGTTTTGTCTCTTGTTTCCTTTTGTGAACTTTGAGTCCTGCCATAAACATCAGTGTTGACTGTTCTGATCAAAAGACTGTAGACTGTAGATGATCATGTACACGTTTCTTACATTTGCAAAAAAATTCTTTGTTTTTCAGGTTGTCATCAAATTTTTTCCAAAGTGTAGATGTGGCGAGAAATTTGAAAAAGTAAGTTGACAAGACTTTGTTCTTCATGAAATTCTCTAGTAAGAATTGGTTTGTTGAATCCATTATGAGACATAACTGAATTACACAGCTAAAGTCTAGAGTTCATGTGAAGTAAAAAAAAAAACATTAGCTGGGTTTCCATCCAAACGTGAGGCAAAACTTTTTCAAATAAAAAAACAAAAATCAATTGTTTATTGGGTTTCCATCAAGTTTCCACTGAGTTTCCAACCAGCAACAGTAAATTAAACACCGTCAGTGGAAACAGTAGTGATGAGTGACTGCTTTTAAAGGGATAGTTCACTTTGAAATTAATTTTTGGTAAATTTTAGCTTACCTCTTTGTTTCCACAGTATTTTCAATTTTGACATTTTTCGGTTAAACCGTTGTGTCTATCAGTCAT